TTAAGGTTAGTCATTGTTTATTGTTGATAAATTTTGTTGTTGAATGATTAGAAATGTCCATTTGATTTGAAATTGAGTGTAAGGAATTGTGAGTGTTATAGGTCATGAGTTCAAGTCTCATCTTCTTTGGTTTAATAAAGTATTCTTTATTTCCAAAAAAAAAAAGATAAAGTTTTTTGTATGTGTTGTTGTATAATGTGTTTGTTTAGATATTTTATTGTTTATGTTATTGCTAATGTTATTCCTTATACATTTTAACTTTTATTTCGTTCAACCAACATGTCCAAAAGGATGTGTTTATTATATCATATGCGGATTGATTGTTTTACCAACCTCTCGTTGACTATTTAACATTTCAATTTATAATAATAGAAAAAACAAATAAGTTTTATTAGTAAATAACTTATATTAATTAATGTTTTACGAGTTTTTTGCAATCTATTATCTACATCTTGCTCTTTGATGGTCATAATGTTTTTCAATATTTCTAGTTGTTCAATCAGCACTTCCTCTCTAGTAGTTCATTATGCAAATATGTTAATACTTTGCAGAATAAACTAATAGAGAAGGACATGTTTGTTGAAGAATTAGAAACATTTCCGAAATAACTACGCCAGAAATGACTTTTAGCAGCGCAACAAAAGACAGCGCTTTCTAAAAAAGCGCTGCTAAAGGGTCATGAAAAAAAAATAAAAAAATAGCATACCTAAGACAGCGCTTGTTAAAAAAACGCTGCTAAAGGGGGGTCAAAGAAAGCGCTTTAAAAAAGCGCTGCTAAAGGGGGGGTCTACGAAAGTGCTTTTAAAAAAGCGCTGCTAAAGGGGGTCATAAGGCAGACCTATAGCAGCGCTTTTAAAAGCGCTGCTAAATGCCAAAAAAAGCGCTGCTAAAGGTGGTCCTAAGGCATACCTATAGCAGCGCTTCTAAAAGCGCTGCTAAAGGGGGTCCTAAGGCAGACCTATAGCAGCGCTTTTAAAAGCGCTGCTAAATGCCAAAAAAAGCGCTGCTAAAGGGGGTCCTAAGGCATACCTATAGCAGCGCTTCTAAAAGCGCTGCTAAATGCCAAAAAAAGCGCTGCTAAAGGGGGTCCTAAGGCAGACCTATAGCAGCGCTTTTAAAAGCGCTGCTAAATGCCAAAAAAAGCGTTGCTATAGGTTTAAGTAGCATAAATTTAAAAAATTCCAATATTTTCACAGAATCAGAACAGTCTTCTTCTTTCTTATTTCCACTCGCGAATGTTGCCCTATTCAGAATTAGAACAGTCACCGTCTACGCATTCCGTCCGCGCCTCCGTCTGACAGCCTCCGTCCGTCGTCTTTCCTCCGGTCATTTCGTCGTCACCTCATTCTGCCGTCGTCCGTCCATTGTTACGGTATTTGAAGTTTTTCATTTTGCATTTTTCTGGATTAATGTCTTAGTATTTCATTTTTTTGGATTATATGATGTTAGTGTTACTTCTTTTCTGAGTTTTTGACTTGTTTTTGTTGATACCGTTGATGAAAATTACTCGTTTGATATTGGCTTGAGTTTTGTATACAAGGTGTTTGTTGAAATGCCACAATGAATTTACTTATGTTAACTTTCATTATATCTAGCCGTATACAAGGTGTTTGCTGAAATGCCACACCTTATATGAGTTCTTTTTACTAATAATTTTTATAAGGGAAATACTGCACATATATTCAATGATTTTTTAGATTATGTTGCTTTAGAAACTTCACACTATTTGTGATTTAGATGAAAGCTTTAAGTTTCTGTTAATCTTGAAATTTATTTATTTTTCTTAATCCTTATTTTTCTATGAAATAGTCTAAATTCACAAATAATCCTTATTTATTTATTAAATTTTAAAACATAAATATATAGATCCGACAACTTTTTTGAAATAAAGTTTGTTTGGCGAGTTACACAACATTTAATGAATTCACGTGTCTTCATGAATGTGGATATAGTTTTAGAATGTATAGATTATTCATACAGCTTTATGTTTGTATATGTATAATGATGTTTGATGTTGCAACATTACATTATATCAAAATCTATATTTTGAGGGACTATATCTTTCGTCTTCTTCAATTGCAAGTGCCATGATCAATCTTATTCCCGGAGTTACATTTTTAATAGCAGCCTTTGTAGGATAATTAATAACTAACTTAACTTATATTTGTTAGTCAATCAAAATTCAAACCAATAATAATATGTTTCTTTGAATATTTTACAGAATGGAAAAAGTAAATATTAGAAGTTTGAGAACTATAGCCAAAATTGTGGGGACTTTGATATGTATTTGTGGAGCTTTGTCTATAGTATTGTTGAAGGGTCCAAAACTATTAAATGCAACGATCATACCTTCAAAATCAATCATGGATGGAAGTGATACTGATAAGAATTGGTTGTTAGGATGTGTTTTTCTTTTGGCAAGTAGTGTTGCCTGGTCATTTTGGCTAATTTTGCAGGTACTTAATTTCACTACAATCAAAGTCTTAAATAACGGTTTATGCTTACGCGATTTTAGTCGGCACAGGTGTTAGTGGTTGTTGCGAATGTGAATTAACCATAATTAATTCCTTATCATAAAAACCGTCAATAACAGAATCAATAACAAAATCAATATCGGTACCATCAGAGACTGTTTTTTAAAATCTTAATAATTAATACTTATGATATAACTATTATTCTATAAACATATAACATTTCACCCTTATATATTTTTCAGGTTCCAGTTTACAAAAGTCATCCTAATTATTTATCACTGTCAGCTTGGATGTGTTTCATTTCAACATTACAATCAGCCGTAGTGACAGTATTCTTGGAGCCAGACCTTAATGCATGGAAGATTAATTCTCTACTTCAATTTGGTTCCACTTTATATGCGGTAATTTTTCATGATCATACACACCAATATTTATACATCATAATCCTAGATAATTTGCAATAAATATATTTTGTAGGGAATTATGGGATCAGCGGTTATGTTTTGTCTTCAAGCATGGTGCATAACACAGAGAGGACCTCTTTTCTCTGCATTGTTTAGCCCTCTTGTCAGTGATTGTGACTGTATTGGCTGCTTTGGTACTTCATGAGGAAATATATATTGGAAGGTAATGATAATGAAGATTAATTCTATAAATACATATTTAATTATTAAGCTGATTAACAGAAACTTCAAATAATGATAAGAACTGAAAATTTCATAGAAATCTAGTACTTAATGATCTACATGGGCCTGTTCAAGTGTATTGTTACTTATCTATTATTGTTTTTGCTTGTGCTGTTGTTAAGATGAATCATGTTCTATTGAATTAAGCTTGGAAGACATTCAATTGAATAATGATACAAAGCTTGAAGAAAACCGTGTATTTGTGGCTGATAGTGAACTTCATGCAGTCTCATACAAAATTCAATAGTCAAGTAAAGATTGTTAAGTTTATTTCTTCCTAATGTGACATATGATATTGTATCTATTTGTAAAGTTATCAGATTTGTAATTATATGTGAATTGATTGTATATGTGATTTTGTTCTGAGGATCGGACTGTGTTGTAATATATTTAAGCAGGTTTATGTGTATAATATTTCAAAGTGATGAATTATAATGTATACTTTAGTTATTGTGTATAATATTGCAAATTGATGAATACAAAAAAATAAGGCCAAAATAATTGTTATATATAAGGCCAAACTGTTGAACTAAAGACCTGAATTATAAGCAGGGAATGTATTTGTTATAAGCAGGTTTATTGAAAAATATATAAAAAATGTGATTATTTTTTTTAAAAAAAAATTCAAAATCGTGAAGAATAGACAGCGCTTTTAAAAAAAGCGCTGCTAAAGGGGCAAAAAGAGGCATAAAAAAGCGCTGCTATAGGTTGGAAAATGGGGGTCTAAGAAAGCGCTTTAAAAAAGCGCTGCTAAAGGGGGGTCTAAGACAGCGCTTTAAAAAAGCGCTGCTAAAGGGGGGTCTAAGAAAGCGCTTTTAAAAAGCGCTGCTAAAGGGGGGAGATGAAAGGGGATTAGGCAGCGGTTATGAAAGCGCTGCTATAGGGTGAAAAAAGCGCTGCTAAAGGCCAAAAAAAAGCGCTGCTAAAGGCAAAAAAAAAGCGCTGTCTTTACCTTTAGCAGCGCCACTTTAGGCAGCGCTTTTAAGCGCTGCTAAAGGCAAAAAAAAAACGCTGCTAAAGGTCTTTTTTGGCATAGTAAATGTTAGCACTCGGCTTTGATTCCCTGACCTCAACCTTTTACTACGGATTGTTCCTTACAACCGCAATGATATGTTATGCGTTACTATGTTTTTACCACTACTACCAGTCCTTTATAGTAAAAAGGACACATTACCACACCTTTCCTTCTCACGGGCGATTATCCGTGATAGAATCCTTCTCTCAAGCGAAGTAAATTGTTCTTTTTGTAATAGTCTAATTATACAACTATATATAGTCATAGTCAATTGTCACTTGTACACCAAATAAGTGTTTTTCACAAAGTTTCTTAAACTATAAACTAACTATAACTAAGTAAATAACTACTAACAAAGCTCTAAATATTAAAGGCTTGAAATATTCTCAACGGATTTTTCCAAAGTACACAAAGATGTATGTAAATTTTCAAGCTTGATTCTTCCAAAGTCAAAGATCCATGTTAATAGTAATTGAGTACTTAATATTGGAAAATTCTGATAGGAATTTCAATCTCCGCTTTAGGCTGCATGCGTGAGACACTAAAAATGCTAAACAATGTCATTTTAAGTCGTCATTCTATTTACTTTATTAGTAACATCACTTTCACAGGTATCAATTTTCAAATCAAAGGAACCTGCCTTGTTTGTTTCCTTAGCAAAGGTATAAGGTGTCACCTCACTATTTTTTATAATGTCATATGGTTCTAAAGTTCACCTATAAATAGGACTTCTATTATGCCACTTCATCAATAAAAATACAACTCAAAACTAAGATATTTCCTTGAGTGTGATAACTAAATAAGCCTTTATTTTCATTCAACATAATGGAAACAACACTCAAATCCTCTCTCATATTCCTCTCTCTTTTTCTTCTTGTTTCCTTCTTTATCTCTTTGCTTCCTGAAGTATCTGAAGCTAGGCCATTACAAGGAAAAGAAGGTGTAAAAGGAGTCTTTAGGACATTGAAGGGAGATGGTCCATCACCTGGAGTTGGACACAGGTTGATTAGAGGGATGAAGGATTCTGGTCCTAATCTAGGTGGAGTTGAACATATTAAGCTTCAAAATCATGGAAGCCACAAGCTTAACATAGCTCATATTATTGGAGGGATTAAGGATTCTGGTCCAAGTCCAGGTGAAGGTCACTAATACATAACCAACAACAAGATAAAACTAATGATATTGTCATGACTCATGACAAATACCTAGTAATTAGTCCATATGAAATTAATTTATAGATTAATAACTCTTAATACTTGTTAATTACTACTCCTATTACTCAGTGATATAATAATTAATATCATTTAACTTGTTACTAGTTGAAGATTAAAGTGAAAAGAATGCAAATTGTAACATGCTTTATATTTAAAATTAATGTGGTTTGGTTTTATTTCAATTCATTTAGAATTAGGATATTATTGTCATGGCCAACACTTTATGGGCAGGTACCAAATATCAACGACCCAACAGTAATTATAAAATTTTACCATACTTTCTTGAAAAATCAAAATAATAAGATTTAAAATTATTTTCTCTTCTTTACTTCTTAAAAAAGAGGTTTTGTTTCCTCTACATAATTAAAGGACAAGAAACAAGCAAAATTAAAAACTAATTTTTCGGAAAAATGTTAATATTTACACAATAATGTATATAATAAATTACATTTTAAAAGTGTCAATAAATTATAGAACTACGATGTGTCACATCGCGAACAATACAACCTACAAGCGCTTGTACGCTCGCGGATGATTGAGTAGAGTCGTTACCGAATTTTATTTATTTCAAAATTGCCTATTTTTAGATAGCATTTCAATCTTAATATCAAAACACTTCAAGACCTTAACCTTCTTATTTTCTTTTTTTAGAGACATCATTACAACTTTGAGCTTTTTGATGGCAACTCATGCCCAAATCCCTATCTTTTCACTTGCTTCTTTCTTTCAAGCTCTTTCATCATTCAATACCACATTATTATTTATTTATTATTATTATTATTATTTCTTTTTCTTGATGCCTCAATCCACCTTTTCCTCCCCAACTTTGAACACAACCAAACATGATAGCTATGAATGCTCTCACACATCTAAGGCCAAGAACAACTGCGCAGCCATACTTAAAATTGGGTTCAAAAATTTTCACAATAAAATTCCAAGATCCATTCCAAAAATTTTCTCTTATGCACAATATTTACACATTCTACTTATTTACACGGATCTTGAAATGAAGGCTCAAAAGGGGTTTATCAAATACTCACTCACTTACACGATAGATTGATCATTATTATTTGGTCAAGTGGTTTTTTTTCTCAAAATGCACAAATATTGCCTTGATCCTTTTCTTCTTTTTTCACAAATTAACACACATGCATGATTTCAACATAATAAGAATGAGTTAACAATGAATATCGGTATCCTGCATATATTCTACAATGAACACTCTGTATAATATTTTCCTAGAATCATATATTACAAGAGTTATTATCTGGTACTGACACCATTATAAGTGCCTATTTGCATAATTTACATACTTGACCATTTCTAAAACATAAAGTCAACATATGGTATAAGATATGGAAAGTTCCAAAACAATAAAACTAAGATCTATGTACAATATCCTTCATTGTACAAGGTACAAGATAATCAAAATAAAACGGAATAAAAAAATCATCTTCTCTTGAAACATCCGAGCATAGCTCCACATGGAAACTAAACCTGCAAATAATACCTGGAAAAAAAACAAACAATAATCGGGTGAGGTACTAATATCAGTGAACTCCCCTATCTTATGGGTTCACTCGGCTCTACAAGATTCTAATCAATTTCTATCTCAATTCAAAAGAGAAAGGGATAAGACTTGAGTTCAAACAATTCACAATGTATGGAAACATGTCTCTTGAGTCCAACAACTCAAACAATCACTAATTGGAAACCACATCAAGGCATCTTTCCCTGACCAACCCCATGACTAGAGTTATTGACATGGGTCACGGATCCTTGTAATATAGATATCTTTCCCCGACCAACCTATACAAGATTATCAACATGGGTCCCGAATATCTAGCTCATAGGTTACTTTTCTCGGACAACCCCACACAAGAGTTCTCGACATAAGTCATTGATACTTATCTAATAAGTAACTTTCCCCCATCAAACCCTACACAAGAATTCTCGACACGGGTCACAGATACTCATCAAAAAATAGTGCGTACATTCCGGATGAGCGCTCTATATAAGCCTCAACTCTTGAAACGACACATCACAAGGGATTATTTTCAACTACGTTATAAAACATAACATAAAATTGAATAGATTCATATTCTAAGGGTCATATAATCAACCTATGAATCGTCACTTCTTGTGGGTCTTCCCCCATCACAAGTCTCTTAACTTGTAGGCTTCATTCGCTTATGTAATCACTAAGGATAGTGTGGTTGTATTTGAAAATCACAATGCATCACATTCATCTTAACCATAAATAACACAATCCATACATGTTCAATACAAAGCTCTCATCACCACTAGACAACTACTTGCCAATGATACACACCTAGGCATCCTTGCACAAGCATTACTATCTATGTTATTCATCATGACCTAATCATCTTACTAATTAATTTTATCAGTTAATATCAATGGTTTCCTCACCATTCTTATAGTCTTTTAAGCATGTTATCACACAATCACATTCATATATATCATGCATAAGCACATACGGTAACAAAGTATAATGTATCAAGCATAAACATCTCACATAAGACATGAAATCATCATTATTCCTATACCGACATTTTTGGTTAATTTGTGATCACATAATAGTTAGGCCTTTCGGAGCCAAGCCCGTCACCAAAATACTGAATCAATCCTCATAGTATTCATCACAACACAAGGTGTTCCTCATCACCCACTCATATATCATTAATTTCCACATTCATTTCATTTCAATACTACACAATTATTCAAATATCTATATCCATATAGCATTGGAATAGCTTTCCAACGCTTCCAACCATGCCTCGATCCGAGTTACAGTTCAAAAGTTATGAAGAAAAGATGAAATAGGAAAACTGTACCCTGCTATGGTCACACAGTGACCCCTAGGCGAGGTACAGGCAGAACCAAAACTGGTTTGTGGTCGTACAACGATTATAGTGCGAGCACATCGAATTCTGCAGAACCACCTGCAAAAATTAGACAGTTCCAATGGGGTTTTTACCCCAATCCCTAACCAAGCTCATTTCCAACAAGAACTCAACATATATTGTATCAAAGCAACACAAATAACATGATTAGCACCATTTCATAGAAATCTATTTCCACACAAAACCTAACTCACTGTATTCTCATGTTTTCCTCCAATGCTAAACTAACTAATGAAACTCGCTCAATTGAAGAAGAAGAAGATGAATTAATGATGAAGAAGATGAATCCAAGAACTTCTTTTCCCCTTCCATGAGTTTCTCCTCTTCTTTTCCTTTTCTATTCTCTTTTCCTCTTTCTTACTATCTTTTTCTTCCTCTTTCTTTCTTATTCACCACATATATAATAAACATATTACATAATATTATGCAATGGTATAAAATATCTCCAACTGATATTTCGTCATCTGACACCAATGACCAAATATTAGAGTTACCAAAATATCCTCTTTTATACTTATTAATATTGGTCTGTCCCATTCATAAATAATTGATCTCTTCAGAGTTCATCAATTAATCTATTAATCCCAATTGACAATGTTCAAAGTACTTGGGAATTCTAATTGTTTCATTTGACAAAATATAGAGCACATAGGAATTCAATTGACCTCAACTGCTATCCAATTAAGAATTTAAGGGAATACAGGGTATTACATTCCCCCCTTAAATTGAAATTTTCCTTCTAATTTCCTCTACTTAATTAAAACCACTGCTTGTATCCCCGCCTTAGATCAACATTTAGCTTCACTTTAGTTAAAATGCTTTACATACTCAATTTCCAACTTGTCTTCACGGCTGTTGCGGTTAGAATATGATATCAAATTATTAATTAATTTGAATCGCATCTTTAGTTCACAACCGCTCTTTGATTTATCCGAAGGAAAAGGTCAAAAGAGGAAAAGCTAATTTTGCATCGTAAAGACAATATGGGGAGAGATCTAGGTAAGGGGTTGGTTAAGCTCAGGGAAGGTACTAGCATCCTAAACTTCTGTAGTACTCTACAGGAACCTTTTGTTTATTGTATGCTTTTTTTATATTTTATTATCTGCTTTAATATATATTGAGCTAAGGGATAGAGTGACCTAAAGACCTAAGGGTTAGTCCTAAGTCTACTCGGCAAGACGTCGCATCTTGTGCCTACATATCCTGACGGGAATGGAATCAGAGTAATTGTAGTTCCCCTCGAAAGGGAGGTTAGAAACTTCTTGACTGTGGTCAAGGTTTCAATGAGAGTAAACGTATCTTAAGGACACGCTTACGTAGAGTCTTGAAACTCCTATTTCTATGTTGAAAAGTTGAATTAAAGTTAGGGTTGAAATTATGGATTCCACGGCGGGAAACCCTAAAGCAGAGTACGGCGACACTTTGACCTAAAGATAGGGTAAAGGGTATTTTCGTCCACGGCGGGACACCTAGGCTCTTAGGGTTTGGAAATGGTCAAAGGTTAGGGTTATTGACTCGGCGGTCAAACGGCTAGACCTAATTTCTTCGGAGATGAACATAACGGTAAATCATGCAAAACATGGCAAATTATTATATGGCGGAAATTAAAGTTCGGAAAGTAAAGAAAGCGGAAAAAGGGTCGCAACGATCACTCGCGTAAGTTACAAATCCCCAAAAAATTCGAAATAAAAAATAAACCGCGACAATGGCCTCGCGTAAATTACATCCATGGAAAATGCAAGAATAATAATAAATAAGAGCGACGATTGCCTCGCGTAAATTACAATTATAAATTGGAGTGCAAAAAATAAAGGATCAATAAACTATACAACTGGAAAAAAAAATGTTAGGAACGTCATAAATTAGAAATCTAAATGTTTTTTTTAATTACAATTTATTAAAAACTAAATTAACTATAAATCATAAAAAACTGTTACTAACTATAAATTATAAAAAAAGGAAATACTAACTATAAGCTATTAAATGTTTTTAATTATTAGTCATCAGAAAA